GTCGGACAGTGTAACATATGACAAAACAATGGTAATTTATGAATTATGAAGGGTTCAGGAAGGAGAAGGGAGTGGGGAGGGAGGGGGAAATAAGCAGCTGATATTAAGGGCTAAAGTAGAAGGCAAATGCTTTGAGAATGATGAGGGCAACAAATGTACATATGTGCTTGACACAATGGATAGATGTATGGATTGTGATAAGAATTGTACAAGCCCCCAATAAAATGATTATATATATATATATGGTAGCTGTATGACATGTGGATGTAATACCAATAAAACGTTACATACAAAAAAATATTTTAGAAACAAAAATTAGCAGAGCTAGTCAAAGAAGGAAAATTCTCTTCAGTATATTTAAATACAAAATATATTCATGTAGCCTAAGAAATCATTTTAAACAGTAGTGATTACAAATAAAACTATTTCAAGTTGGTCTATTTACAGTAGTCAAAATAAACTACTCCAATTACCTAAGAGTTAACAATCCCAGATTTACCTACTTAATGAAAAAAAAAAAGAAAATTAATCTATTTGATTTATCTTAAGACTCTTTAAATGGCTACAGAAGGTACTATTCATTTTTTTATTTGTTTTTTAGTTAGGGAGGGGCAGCTATTTTAAAGAAAAAGATAAAACTAATTTAAAAGAAAAGATATTATGGATACACTGGGTAGTGTAAGATAAGGCAAAAATAATAATAATATAATAATAAGGGTTCCTTGGGGGTAGGATGGGGGTGGGAGGGGATAAAGGGCAGCTGATATCAAAGAGTTCAAGAAGAAAGAAAATGTTTTTGAAATGATGGTGGCAGTAATTGTATAATTATGCTTGATCTAATTGTATTATGGACTGTTATAATATCTGCAAGAGCTCCCAATAAAATAATTAAAAGAAAACACATTATGACAAGTACCCTGTTGAAACTAAAAATATCTCCCCTGAGAATTCATAACTTCAACCAGCCATTACAGCTTTGGAACAAAAAGTCGGTCACACCACCCATATAACAGAAAATACATCAGCCCAATTTCTGTTTAAAACACTCTCAGGTGGTAAGCCCAGGAACCAGGTAACTGTAAGCAATCATACTTCCTGAAAAATTCTTTAAATCCTGGCTTTCATAAATTTTCAGTGAGAAAATGACCACAACCTGGCGGAAAACATGAAAAAGACATACAGATATCTTTTGCCAAAGAAAAATTACAGAAGCCAAAAATATATAGATGCTTAAACTTATTATTCAAGAAAATACAAAGCGAAATGACAAAATACAATTTTACACACATTATACCACAAACATTAAAACACTGGATAAAAGAAGTAAAGCAATAGAAACTCCTAAGTATTATCCACTGCTGTTCTGATTTTAAACTGCCATAAAAAATAATTGGCATCATCTAACAAAATTAAAGATGTCAATATCCTATAGCTCAGGAAACCCACACAATGGCATCTTCCTGAACTTCTTCTCCCATGCTTCAGAGACAGTCCCAAGAACCTCCAGAGAAGAATTATGCATAATTTTTTAAAGATGGGAAAAAATAACTTTCCATTATTAAAACAAAATAAATGAAATAAGATAGTTTTTCAATGAAAAATGATACATTAGTGAAAGTAAGTAATCTAGAGCTACATGGATCAGCATAAATGAATCTCTTCATCATAATGTTGATCAAAATAGCAAATTACAGAAGAAAAAGTTGGAATCAATTCACCCCAAATTCAAAACTTGCAAAGCTAACCAATATGTCATTTTTTAACACATACATTTGGAGTTTATTTTAAAGAATGAGAAATAAAAGTTGAGGGAAGAGTTAACTTCTCAGCAAGATAGTTAGGGAGATTACCAAAGAACTCTCAAAGGATTTAAAAGGCTTTGGTAGAGGCCTTTTTTTTGTTTAAGTGAATGATGATACAGTGGATTTTCATTATTACTAGTCTTTAAATTGAACACAAAAACTAGAAATCCTCAGGTATGTATGGCATAATTCATAATGTGGTCATTTTTAAAAGAATAACAAATAGCAATATACACATTTCGTTCTTTGGCTCCTGGGCAGTGTTGTCCCTTTGTCTTTTCATCATCTTAAATTCTGGTCTCCAATTTTATGATGATTATGATACATAAAGTAGTTCTGATGGCACAGGGGTTCGAAACTCGGCTACTAACCTAAAGATTACAAATGAGGAAACCATATAGATAGCTCTGCTCTATCCTACAGGGCTGCTATGAGCCAGAATGGATTTGACAGCAATGGCAGGAATACTTTACCGTGTTTCTTATGGGAATCTTCTTGGGTTCTGGGGGTACATCCTGTGGAACAAATTTCACTGGTTCCTTAATCTGCCTCCTTGATCGTTTGGTCCCATCTGGTAAGGTTTCCATGGCCATGTCTGCTTCCATGTCACTACTGCCCGCTTGGTCACATTCTGAGCACTGCCTACATGCAGAGAGAAAGTTTAAGTTCACAATTGTACATTTGCCTTAAAGTTTTAGCAATCACTATAATCTTTCAGGAGGAGATCACCAGGCCTTTCTTCCAAAATTTCTCTGGTGGATTCAAAATCTCAATATTAGTAGGTAAGTGCTTAAGCATTTGTATCACCCAGGGACTAAATCAGAAGTCACACAGCCATATATGCAAGTACATGTTTAAAACCTGTTGGGGTAGGAGGTAACACTTTGATTCAATGTATGTGTCACTCTCCTTAACATGACAATTTCAAGCTACCAACACGGCATCAGTGACTATGGAGTTGGAAAGAGATATGTAACAGTGTTATCGTTTCTCTATCACATAGTTAGAAGATACAATGGAATAGACCCAAGATCAACAACATGAATAAACTGATGTAAATTATTTAAGAAGTGATGTACTTTAGCATTTACTACTCTTGTTTGTAATATAAATTAAATAATAAACTAACACTGAGAAAATTTGCTTTTCAAATTCAAGGTACACGAAAGAAAAAGTAATTTTCTAAAACTCATTCATTCCAAGATTAATATACTCAATTGTTAACCAAAACGAAGCTGATTTTAGAGGCCAAAATCTGATTCATAAATCTACAAGAAATTGAAAGCTTCACTACTCTACAATATTAGATTCAACTCTTACTTAAAATGTTATAACCAATGCATAGGACCAAAGTAGTTAAAGTCATTTTGGAAGGGCTTTCAGCCAAAAGACTACCTACTTTCATTGAAAGTTCTTCCAAAAACTTCCACACGAACAACTAGAAACCAGATCTCTACAAACATAAAAGTTAGGAAGATCCATAACTTATTTTAATGAAATAACTGCACATCTCCATGCCCATGACCAGGGCAAAACGGCCAGGTCATGGAGACTACCAAACCCACGTTTGATTTAGAAACCCAACAAGGATGCTTATTAACGTGACTACGATCCAATTATGCTACAGCAATGTCTTCTTAAATTCTCAAAGTTTCAAATACACAAAGATCTCAAAGGAAACATACCCTACTATATTTGAAAGGAGAAGCCAGAGCAATGTTTAAAACAAATAGACCTTATAAGAACACTACTTAAAAAGCTATCCTGTAAATCAGTGGTTCTTAACCTTCCTAATGTCATGACCCTTTAATAGAGTTCCTCATGTTGTGGTAACCCCCCTCAAACAACATTATTTTCGTTGCTACTTCATAACTATAATTTTGCTACTGAATTGGGCGATCCCTGTGAAAGACTCATTCGACCCCCAAAGGGGTTGCAACCCACAGGTTGAGAACCGCTGCTGTAAATAGATGATAGATAGATAGATAGATAGATAGATAGATAGATAGATAGATAGATAGATAGATAGATACATACATACATACATACATACATAGATGATAGATAGATAGATAGATAGATAGCTATCCAGTGATGATGGTAAAAGGATAGGAACAGAAATATTTCTAGTGAATGAAACAATGCGCTTAATGGATCTGAAGAAGAAACATGAATTTTGGTGTAGTTACCATTTAAGAATTTAGGGTTTACTCTTATTTAAAACTGAAAATAGTAACTTATCTAAAATGATCACTCATGTTCATTCCAAAGCTTTCAATTTTCTATATTCTCCTTTCTATAAGGAAAAAGGCTATTAAAATCTGAACATCTGTCTCTCCCTTGGACTAAAATTAAGGAGAAGATAAAACTCATTATACATATCATAAGCATTTATCAAACATCTGTAGTGATTCAATCTGCCTAAGTTGATGAAAAAAAATAATTCAGAAACATATGTCAAATGTTTCTAGATGTTCAAAGAATGGTTAGATTTAAAATAGAACTAACACAAACAACAAAATACCAGAAGTAAACCTTTAGATGAAACTAATTTAGAAATAAAATATCAAATTACAAGTACACGAATGACTATGGAAGTATATTTCTGATGAATGAACTCAATTTCAAAATAAAAATAAAGCATTTAGCAAATTCTTACAATAAAGCAAAAGAGAATTATAAATACATTATTTGAAATGAAATCCTATTGCTAAGATACAAAAACAGACTCAATTAATTGAAATTTATTTCTTAAGAACACTGTTAGAGTTTTATTCATAGTATAGTACAGACATGTTTATGGATATATCTATTTTTAACATGTGCTAAATATTTATTGTGTATCAATATGATACAGTATTTCTTTATATGCTCCTGAAACATAGAGCAAACCAGTTCTAACATGCAAATTCCTTCTCTTTACTTACCAGTAACTGTTTTTGGTCTTCCTTGGCATCCGTGTTAGAGGGGGGTCCAAACACCCAAGGTGGTAGTGGAGTTTGCAAGTGTCACACAACAGGAGAAGGTGCTGATCATGGTTCTTCTTACAAATCCCACAACTTTGAGTGAAGGCATCAAATAAAAGATCAGTTTGGTCATTCTCATGATGAAACACACTGAGTTCATAGCATAGTTCTCATTTCCAAAATTTTACCAATCATTAAATCTTCCATTCAAACTCTTAATCAACATCTATGTTATTGAAACAAACTCTTTTTCATAACACATGTCACGTTATATGTCATTAACTGATTGCTCGTTCTAGTTATTTAGAATTTCTACTTCATATTTAAATACTAAGATGTCAAAGTTTCAAAGACGGCTAGCTAAGAAATTTAGTCCCAACATTTTGTTATTTTAATTTAAATCCTGACTTAAATGTCAACTAACATTAGCTCATTTTTTCTCTACAAGCATAAATTATTAAATAAAACAATTTCCTGCGGTTTTTCTCAAACTACAAGCTACTTTACAAACAAACCGATTTATTTTCTAACATTGAAAACATTTTGAAGATCCTTCAACGTGAAAATAAACTATTTATGTAAGTCTCTTTTCAGAATCAGACTTGAAACAGCAACTGATAATTGTTGCAAAGATTACAGATGTTTACTATTGCTGTTGTAATTTTGATTTCTTTTTGTTTTTAAGAAATCTAACTGTTCTTGTACAATCATGCAACTTTAATTCCTGTAACCCAAGCACAATAGTCTGAAAGCCTAGGACCTATTTTATTGGGAATGTACAGAGTGAGGGAGAAGTTAAGAACCTAAAAGAGCCATCCATCCAAGTCCAGAAATAGCAATGATCTTGGAGTTTGGGGTTTGTTTTGATAATTTTTTAAAAAAAATTACCGTGAGAGCACAAGAAAACAACATGTGCCTGGTCTGAAAGTTGCTCAGGGTTAAAAAGAAAAACCACTTAAAATACAATCTGGAACAAAATGAACTGTGATTTTTAAAAACCAGCAGCTTAGTGATAGGTCGGATGGTTCCGAAAGCAATGAGCATGCGTCCATCTCTATACTGTGCATACAAACAACAGTGAGCTTGTCCCACCTTTCAAGGGATTTGCTGTCACCTATGGAGGCAGCCTCCATAGAATAGGTGGTAACTGGAGAGATGAGTACTGCCTGTATGTTGTTGTTTCTGAAATGGGTGTGGATATGGAAACACTAGTAATATGTTTGCATATGCCTACGTATATGTATAGGTATGTTTATATGTGGATATATATCAAGGGACAACAAAAAATTATGGCCAAGTGGAAAGTTTTCACAAATATTCGAAGCCCCTGCATAGATTTATTTACATCTGAACTGCATTATTTTATCAATATAGTAAGTTACAAGGAAAAAAGTGTGATTCTAACCCATTTGATTATACGAAAAATCTTAATTATGTAAAATTATTATAATGGTTAGCATTTGAATATTGAGCTAAAAAAAGTTAAGGATAAAAGTCTAGAAATCAAATTAGTACAACTAATTATGTACAGGGAAAACAATATAAGGACAGATTTTTTAAAAATTTAAATCATTTTATTAGGGGCTCATACAACTCTTATCACAATCCATGCATACATCAATTGTGTAAAGCACATTTGTACATTCATTGCCCTCATCATTCTCAAAACATTTGCTCTCCACTTAAGCCCCTGGCATCAGCTCCTCATTTTTTCCCCTCCCTCCCCTCTTCCCTCATGAACCCTTGATAATTTATAAATTATTATTTTTTCATCTCTTGTACTGTCCGACGTCTCCCTTCACCCATTTTTCTGTTGCCCGTCCCCCAGGGAGGAGGTTATATGTAGATCCTTATAATCGGTTGACCCTTTCCAACCCACCCTCTCTCTACCTTCCCGACATTTAAATTTAAACCTATCTTCACTGTCCACTTTATTCAAAGATTATATCCATAATTACTTCAAAACATAGACAAAACTCTTAACTGAGTCAAACAAAACAAAACGCAAACATGGCCTTTTAGCCTTTTATATTGTTTCCATTATTTATGAGAATCGTCTCTAGTTCTGTCAATGGCTGCTTCATCTCCATGGAGATGATGCAGGGATACTCCATTGCTTAAAGGGTCCGAAAAGTCAAGGAAGTATCATTAAAAGAGCTATAAAAAAGTCTTCTGTTCTTCAACCAGAAAAACATATTTTATTAAACTATTAATATAATGAACTTCAAAGCATTTAATAGAAATTCTGATAGAGACAAAATTCATTCTTAGATACTATCTTATTAGCATTGGCTAAGAATCCATACAAATACGCGATGATCACTCATTAACCCATTATGAATTACTTGCCTATAAAGCACTGCTGGAAGAGTAGATGTTTTTTGTGTGCCTCCTTCCTTTTTACTTGGTTTTCTCTCTTTTGGTGCTCGCAAAATAGCTGGTATGTTCAACTTCTATTGATTTGAACAAATGCAGTTTATAAGGAAGAAATGTAAAGCAACATTTTCTTCTACTCACCGATTGAGCCTACTAGTTATGCCACAATGCTGAGGGGGAAATCTGCTGGACCAGCATCACACCGGCAAAAATCATTATGATGAGTTTTTTCTAGCAGTTACTTACATTCGAAACCTATAATTTTACATGCTCATCAGTTTTCAATGGAAACTAAAACATTATGTATATTAAACTTCTGTTCTAGCTTTAAAAAGCAAAAGACAGGGACAAGGATTTCATAGATTTAAAAAACAAAAAAGCACAGTACACTTGACAAAAAGAATATTGAAGCTGTTTATTTTCCTTAGCATCCCAGCTATGTTGGTGCTCCATAGGTTAATTAGAAAAATTATCTTATTGGACCAAACCTTCCACAAAGCACACAGACTCTCTTTGGGTTTCTACTAATCTGCAGCATACGAGCTTCTCATGCAGCAGCCATCTATCAAAGTCATTTCTCAGTGGCCCTGTGGGCCAGCATCTGCTCAACCAACTGGGAAAAATGTCATGCTAGTGGTACAAATGAATTCGACTTCTGCTGTGTGTTTTACATTGCACGTGAAAATTTGTGAGCCTCTGTTAAAAGTCATTTACTATATGAAAATGTTCTTTTATGGTAGATAATGTGTTATACACAACAGGGGATTATTATGAGGCAATCTTGCAAATTAAGCCAAAAAATAATGAGTTTGGCAGATAAATTAATGATAAGCTTCAGTTCAACATTCACTACTCTAAATATGACATAAAAAAAAAACCCTGTATTCTTACAAGATTCCATCAACAGCCTATCAATGGAAGCAAAAATCAATCCTTCCATTCGTGGTTTCTCAGTCTTACCTTTTAAAAGTCATTATCATTTAAGCCACATACACCCTTGTTCACAAAAGAAGTATCTTCAAAGCTAGCAGGGCACAATATAAATTAGTATATAATACTTCCTAAAATACTATATATACACAAATTATATGACAAACGTCACTCTGCACACCTGGAAACAAGTGCAATGAAAAATATTTGTACTTGGAAAAGCCTTCCTCACAAATTAAACTAATTTGTAGTAAAAGCAGAAACAATGGGTCTTTATCCCCCTTAAAAAATGTAAATTATTATGTAAATCAATTCTCAAATGATTAGTTACAGGCAGAGTCTTCAAAACATTCATAGAAAAATTCCATTATCTTTTCATTCCATTTTTCCATAAACTTTTAGAAGCTCCCTGGTATACATAGTTTACTAAAGATAACATTCAAAGAAATCTACTCGGCACTGATTCTTTTTTCAATGCCAAGAACATTATTGTGCTAAACATCAAGGATACAGTAATTTTCCCAAGACTACAAATAAAGAGCTAATGCTGAAGGAGAGAAAAACTACACTTTAACACTGTTTCCAAATCTTTCTCTTACACAGCTCACAACAAAATCAAAACAGAAATGAATCTCTCCAGCTTGCCTTTTTTCAAATGTTTACCTCCAAATAAAAGAGAACTAAGGATAACACAAGGGCAGGACAGGTGTGGAAATATGGCAGGAGAGGTACGGCTGCTAAATTAAAGAATGTCGTCGGAGTAACTCATGCTTCATATGTTACCTTCATCACAAATGACAGGGCAATCAGTTAGAGCAAATGAAAAAATTTTGCAAGCAAGATAGCTGTTAAAATAATTGAATGAAGTACAATGAATGCTCTAGCTATGTTTCAGGCAGACGTCATTGTCTCCAGAGGCCAGGATCAAACAGAATTCTTTAGTTAGCAAAGTGACAGTTGCATTAGGAGTCTGGTCTTTGGAAATTATATAGGGCACAAGAATAGAAGGAGATAGTTATTAGAAAGAAACTAACCTGGCCTGTGATTCTGCCAAGCAAGGCCCATATGCCTTGACCTTCGCTTCGAAGTTTTCCATTCAGATTCTGCAGCTCTTCTAAAGATTCGCATAACTATAAAGTAAATAAATCACATTCTTAAACTTCATTACAATGTGCAGTAAAAATATATGAAAATGTGAATAATGTATCAATAAAGTATAAATAATGTGCATTTATATTCTATGTTAGATTAATACACTCAACTCTCAATGGAAAATGGGGCTATACAATTATTTAATAGCACCAATAAAATGTGAGCTATTTTATGATATTATTTTTACTAATTATAACATAATTAGAATAATGATACTGGCCTTTATCATTTGTTATAATTTTATACACATTTCCCTAATTCTTTTGACCCTATGAAGAGACATTTCCATAATTTGTTTCATGGGAAAACTAAGGACAGAGTTTTCGTGAATTGGCCAAGATCACAGAACTAGGAAGTGCTGAATCTAATTTCAGCACTCTTTCCACGTCAAGGTGGTTGATTATAGAAGCTTCTAATTTTTTAAGCACTTAAACAGTGTCATGTTGCTATTACTCATTGTATGACAAATTAGTAGCATCTTTCTTTTATATACTTCTTTTGGTCTCTCAACCCTCATTATTAAAATGTAGCCAAAAGAAGAATGAAGCAGGACAATATGTATTTAAATTGAGTTTATTATTTTTTAAATCAAAAGAAACTATCATTTAATTAAATATTAAAATATTTTTGAAATAAATGTCCAAGTTTCCTACAAACTTAGAAAAGGGAACTCGGCGACTCTGTGTGTTAGTTAGAAATAAGGATCCGCATCATCAGACTGGTTCACTTACAACGCAAGTTCTTCCTTCAAAAATGAAAATCATCGTATCTTGCATCGTAAAGGTGAAGTGAGAACTGACACGAGAAGTGCCAGAGTTGTACTTTGTACATGGAAAACGCTCAGCAGGTGTTAACGGGTAGGAACTATAGGGAAGGTTGTAAAGGTCTAGCAAAAATTTAAAATGAACCAAATCGAAATTCCATAAAAATACAAAGAAATCATCAACAGTATCCAATCATGATGTTTTATAGTCACTCACCTTATTATATTCCACATGAAGCTTTTCTTGTTCATTCTCTAATTTATCCTTTATATTCTTTTGTTCAGCCATATTTTCCTGAATTTGAATCATGCGCATATTTCTCTCTATTTAAATTAAATATCCAATTTTACTTCAGTAGAAAAAAAGCTAATATGCAAAATACACATATGAAGGAGCCTGACATAATCACTTGTATAAACCTACATGGTTTTAGTCTATTCACAAATTCCTGAACCTAGCATTTATAACAGCTTGCAACTTATTAGGGAAATAAATATGTTTTTATGTGATAAATGTAGACTGCCTAAATATTTCTAGTAATTGGTAGCATATCAAATATTTTCATTATAACAGTATTATCATTTAAAAGTGGGTAAGTATGAGAATCTATACTGACCAAAATAATAATTCACAAAATCAGCAGTGAGAGCTGGTTGTTTATGTTTTCTCCTTCCATCCACACTAGAACTAGTATCTGAATTGTCCACTGGGAAGATATCTGTGCTGATACCCATTAGCTCTGCTTTCCGCATCAGTTTACGAATGGCTGAAGCACTACTAGTGAGTGGTCTGGGCAGTTTTTCCCTTGGAACCCAGGCCTGCGGCCTAGTTGATCGAGCTAGCTCTGCTTTGGCGCGATATTGTTGAAGCCGGGCATTGATCCTTGCCTACAAAAAAAGTATGCAGATTTTTAAAAAAATATGTATACAGATTAAAATGGAACACACATCTGCCTGTGATTTTTACTTCTAATCTCAGAGACAGTAAAATTAACAAAAATCTCCTACAATGAAGGTAAATTATATCTATCCACAGACCTTAAGGTATATTGCATAATTCCTGGATTATAATCAACTAAGGAATGATAATTCTAATCATGTTCAGAATTCTGATAAACTAATTCGATTAACCTTAACTTGTAATAACTGCATGAATCTCCATAAATTTACTTTATTTAGACAGTCAATTTGATCAAGTCTTTTGCATAAATGAACATTAAAACAACCTGAAAAAGATGTGGTCAATGTCTGACACTGTGAGATTTATTCTCGGTGACGTCGTGATTATGTATTAGGCTGAGATCTGAAAGGTCCGCCGTTCAAAACCGCCATAAAGATGAGGTGCTTTCCACTCCTGTTAACAGAGTCTTGGAAGCCCACATGGGCAGCCCTACCCTACCTTAAAGGGCCACTCTGAGTCAGCACAGACTCGATGGCACTGAGTTTTGGGTTTTTTGTATTTGGTCTTCTGCTGGCTAAATGAAGAGTACTGCTTTTAACCACAACCTATACTGGCCATCTATCCTAACAACAGTTTACTTTCTGGTTTACTAACCAGATTACATATTTATAATTGACTGAAAAATATCCATGGATTCTGAAATGTAAAACCCTAAAAGAAAAAACACAGCAACTTGGACATGAATTCCATACCTGTGCTTCTGGCGACAGTTGTTTCTCTCTCTCTTGCAAAGACATTTTACAATAGGATTGTAGAGCCAAGTAATTTTTTCTCTTCCACTTTCTGTCTAACCTATCTGCGTGCTGCTTACAATAAGCAAAAAATGGATCTGCTATATCCTGTATCAAAAAAGGAGGGGAGGGAAGGAGAAGATATGAGCAGTTTAACTTAAAGGGTCATAATCAACCTAATATAAAAGAATAGTATTTCTTTCTGAAAACTCTCTTAGTGTAACTTATTTCATTTTGTTATTTTTTTATATCATTTTATTGGGGGCTCATACAACTCTTATCACAATCCATCCATTCATTGTGTCAAGCATACTTGTACATATGTTGCCATCATCATTCTCAGAACGTTTTCTTTCTTCTTGAGCCCTTGGTATAGTTATTTCTTTTTCTATTTCTTTTTTTTGGGGGGGTTATAGTTATTTTTATAATATTTTTTTAAATAACCTTTACACAAAATGATAAAGATTACTGATTCAGAAACTTAGTCTTCCATGTTAATTCCAAATTACCAACCTCAACTTAGCAAGTATTTTTTATGTAAGGCCTTCTGGATTTAAGCAAATTACAATCAAGTCTTATATATTATTTAGGTATAATTATATATATTACACTGTATTAAAAATAACTTGGAAAGATGCAAAAGTTCGTGGAGAATGAAATGACTGAGCACTTGACTACTAGCCGAAAGAGTGGTAGCTAGAGTGCCCGCACCCCACCCCCCACCGACCCGGAGTTCCTTAAAGAAAGGCCTGGCGCTCTGCTTCTGAAAGGACACAGCACTGGACCCCCAGCAAGCAGTTCCCCTCCACACACACAGGGGTGGCCCTTACGTAGAACCGACTCCACGGAAACGAGACTCAAACTAGAATGTTATGTACAATGTGGTTACTGATGAGATGACAGTCCGTTCTTTAGCTATAGTCCAAAAAAGAAAACTAAAAATAGGATTATCCCTTCCGCTCTTCACTATCATATGCTAAAAGGATCTCTTAGATAGGGTTTGCAACTCAGAAGGAGTTGGTCAAACGAGATGAGGTGGATGAGAAAGAGTACAGAGAAATAATCAGAAAGGAAAAAAGGAGGCTAATGGCTTTAACATTTAAAGAATGCCCATGAGGCCACTCTTTTGTGCAATGTCCACAAATGTCACAGTGCAGAGATGTGGATAAAAATTAGAGAATTTAGAGATATAAAACCTGGATACAAATCTCAGGTCTACCCTTTACCAGCTGGAGGACTGTAAAAAGGGCTCACTGAAACCGTTACCGTAGTAGTAACATAAAGTTCTGTAACTTCTTCATATGGTTATTAGGATAGAATATGAAAATATATGCCAGGAGATTATATTAACACAAATAAAGCTACTTTCTTGGGACATGCTCTATATCAAGAGGAGAGAAGATGCTAAGTGGGAATAAAGATTATATTTAATTGCAAAACACCCAGTCTAGATAATTATTTTATTGCATTTAAAGCAGGTGAGTTGAAATTGAGTCATTAAGAGATAAAATGTATGCTTGAAAAAGAGAGCTAACTACTAGTTAGTACTCAGGTCCGACTTAGGAGTTAGTGATATCCAAGAAAGAAATCAGACACAAAAGGAAAAATAATGTATGCCTCACTTATATAAAATACCCAAAATTTGAAAATGCATTAAAACCTAAGTTTATTAGTGGGTACGAGGGAGAGAAGGGCGGGAAGAAATGGGGAATTACTGCTTAAGGGTAATGAGTTTCTATAAAGGTTAATGAAAGAAAAGTGAAAGTAGATAGAGGTATTCGTTTCCTAATTGTATACTGCCTGCCTTGGAATATCTCTTCAACCTGTGAGAGAAATTGTGGTGGCTGATGTGATATACATTACATGTTAACTTGGCTCGCTGTGATTCCCAGTGGTTTGGCAGATGTATGTATTCACCCTCCATTTTGTAGTCCGATATAAGAAGGCAATCAGTTGAGAATGGATTTTCCTGAGGGTGTGATTTAAATACACTATATTTGGAAGTTGTGGAAAAGCTCGTTCACGCTGTCTCTTACATTCATCTTGTGACACTGACATCGGGTTCTTTGGATGTGAGGCAACAATCTGCCAGCTGATGCAGATTTGGGGTTGGTCAACCACAGAGTGAGAAACTTCGAATCTACAGCCAGAGCCCTGGATTTGGGACTTGCCAGCTGTGGCAGATACACAACCTAGTGTCAACTTGAGACTATTAAGAGGGAAGGGGTGGAGGCTATCCTGTCAATCAGGTCGCAGCTTGATGATCTCATTTGTAAACACCACGGAAATAAATAGCTCACTGGAGGTGGGACATACAGCCTCTCCCTACAAGACATTCCTGTTAACAAGCCACATGTAGCTATGCTGATGGCAGCCAGAGCCTTGGAGCTGGAAGAGCCACGTGGAGACCCAGGCCAGCACTAAGATGCTTCCACCACCATTGGATCCACAAGACTTTCCACCCATTGGCCTGTGATCTTCCTGCACTTGGTGTCATTGCATGTGTTGCGTGAGTTGGAAGAGGAATTCACAGACTGGTATCGGACATATGGGTTAATATCGGACTTATGGACTTGATCTGGACTGAGCTGCGATGTTTTCTTACTATATAATTACTCTTTTATATAAAGCTCTTTCTTATACACATATGAGCAGATTAATATACCAGCAGATTAACACACAATTACATGAACAATTTTCCTGAAATACTTGTCTCTCTGCTTCTCTAGTGAAATGGAGCTGTACTAAAACTATTACTCAAAGCATTTGTATTTAAAACCTTGCCATAAACCTATATAATCTTCAAGGACAGGCTTAATAATCTCTCCTGGAAATCTCTTTAAATGAACATGATGATAATCAAGTAGAGATGGAAAAGACAAATGTTCCTTATTTATTAGGATGTTTGGCCAGCGACTTAACCTCTGGTTTTAAAGCTTTTATCCACAAAATCAGCATTAAAATAATAGAACCCCTTAGGCATAGGTATAAACTGGAAGACATCCTGAGAGTGATGTAGGTAAGCATTTGGCTGCTAACTCCAAGGTCCCACCACTGCTCCAAGAGGAAAGAGGAGACTGTCTGCTCTTGTACAGATTTAGTCTTGGGAACCTAAGGAGCAGTTCTCCGGTGTCCTATAGTGTAGTTAGTTCAGAATGGACTCAAGAGCAGTGGGCGTGGGTAGGTGTATGAATTAACTGAGACAGTGTGTGAAAGAGTCTAGCGCTATGCCTAGCACAAGGCAGCCATTAAGAAAAGCACTTCTCCCTTTTCACGGGGAGGAGAACCTTAAAAGACCTTCTTATGCTCTTCCGGGACTTAGAAGATAAGGGCCCCCTGCTATCTCCTTTCTCTCACACTGGGCCATTTCCTCCACCTACATAAGGGCTTTCCACAAGTTATTCTGTCTGTAATGCTCTTCCCTCCAGGATCGGCATGCTCCCCATCACTTCCCTCCCTTATAGTCACAAAGATCACCTCATTATAAGGCCCTTCTCTGACTTCCTTATAGAAAATAGTATTGCCCTACACATCTCTCCCTCATTGGTCTAAATTTCTTCACACTACTGATCACCATGTTTCTGTTTTCAATATCTGGTCCTTGCTCATTTGCCACTCTCTTAAGAACCCAAAGGGAGACTTCTGAAAAGATGGGGAACTAGGCAGACATACTACCCAGACCATGGCAACAAAGGGACTAGAGACTAAATAAAACATACACCCCGAGGAAAGGATAGAGAAGTGAAATAAGTATCGAGTATGAGAAGAAGCTGACAAGACTGACAAGAAAGGAGAAGATGGAATGGAAGAATTGTTAGCTGGCTAATACGGCATGGTCATTTTGAACGTTCACACTCAGTACTCAATCAAAACATCAGCCTAAAAGCAAAAGCGCCCACACTGGTGGCTGCTGACCCGAAAGTTGTGGTCTTTCACTTGTTCCCCTCACCCTCCCGTGAATCAGACACATGGCCAGCCTCCAGCCTCCCCAGTCCACACCAGTGACACTCCCACCGCTTGGCATTGGCCCTGCTCCTCCTGAGCTCAGCTGTGCACCAGCAAAAACAGAGCACCAGGTGCTTCATTTATATACCAGATCTCATTATAAAAATTTTAGCATGTTATACAAATGTCTGACTAGATTTAGGACAGACCAAACTCACACATAAGTATTATTTACACTTGAAGTTTTCAACCAGTGAGCTAGATAAAGACCTTAAAATAAAAAGCTTAATTTGTTTATGATGAATTTCTCTGGTAGAACACAAAAGAGGCATAAGGAGTTTTCTGAACATGTGCCCCGCCTCGGGGTTTAACCACACATACCTCTTCTGCTGCCGCCTCTGAAAGCAACCCTTCCTTCTGGGCACAGGTAACATGAAAATAGGCTCGGCACATCCCTGCATCGCAGCTGATGCAAACTCCAGTTCTAGCAAAACGAGGGTCTTCACAGAAGCTACATTCCTGCAACAGAATAACAGGAAAACTTAGCAGAGCAAAACTACTTTCACTACTCTCAAATAAAGCATCCAGAAAATAGTATGATGGGGCCAACATTTACCACTTATCCTTTTTATTTATACTGCTAAAGAAATTCACCTGGAACAACTGAAAAAGAAAAGGTGTAAAGAACTGGAGGAAGATGTGGACTATGTGGTTAACGGCCTCCATGAACAATAGCCTTCTCTGCCATGCGTCGACAAGAACTAGATGGTGCCAGTCTACTAGGGCTGAAGGTCTTATTCAGAGTCTATACAAAAATCCTGGTCAAAAGCGAATAAATACAGAACCAAATTTCAAATTCTCATGAACTCCACACTTTCTAGAGGTTTGGAGGATTGATGAATCTCTAAAACTATTACTCTTATATAAATCTTTAAGTCTTAAATCAAAAATATTCCTTTATGTCACTGAATTCTACTTGCAGAAATGGTGGAATTCATATGTGTTCTGCTATGCATATTATTAATAACAGAAAAAAATTTTTAATAAGGTGCTAAATAAGTACCAATAAGGAACCAATTTTGTACTAATGCAAACAAAAAGTGTAGGTAAGTCAGAGTTTATATTTTTTAAAAATGTAATTTCCTGTACTATTTTAATTAGCCAAATGCCACTGATAGAATAACAATAATAAATGATATTGATTATTTATAATGTGCCAACTACTATTGTAAGCACTTTACATATATTAACCCATATAACAATTTAATATATATAATTAGTCTCACTTTACAGGTTAGAATTTGATTGACGAAAGGTAACATAACCTCCTCAAAATAATACAGAAAATTAACTAGGAGTCAGAATTCAATCTAGAAAACTTTTATTTCAAAACCCATGCTCTTAACCAGGGACCCTGGACTGGTAACCACAAGGCTGTTGACTTAAACTCAGAAGCTGCTCCTTGAGACAGAGCAGCAGCTATCAGCTCTCATAGAGATAGACCATCTCAGCAACCCTGGATAAAATCACTGCAAATCAGAATCAACAATATGGTGGTAGGTAGGTCAGTCAGGCGGTCAGGAGGTCAGTAGGTAGGTAGGTAGGTAGGTAGGCAGGCTCTTAACTATTAAGCTATATTGGCTCTTGAACAACAAAACACTATTTGAAAAGTGAAAGAAAATAAGTATGAAATTAAAAATATATTTCACCATAATATCTAAGCATCTATGCAAACAAACCATTCACTTTTCAATTTTCAAGTATCTTTAAGAAACAATTAACAAACAATTTGGTGAACTCGGTATTGGTACACAATATAACCAAAGATTTACATTCTTCTGTGTACAAAAGGGGGAGCTATAAAACCATAAGTATAAATGGTTGATATTAAAATCCTCCTCCCAAAGTTATATTACTACAATAATGTTTAATTATCTTATAAATCATTTTAATTATCTTGATAACTGAAAGCTCAAATACTCATTGCCTTTGAGCCCAGTGACTCAGAGTGACCATAAAAGGCGGGTAGAACTGTCTCATAGTTTGCAAGTCTATAAACTCCACATCTCTTCCCATGTCATAAGTAACCCAGAGCTCACCCACGCACCACCAGCGCCTCATTCGCTGTTCACCAACCGCCATCAAGCCCATTCCGACTCACGGCAACCCGTTAGGACAGAGGAGAACTGCTCCCAAGAATTTTTAAGCCAGTGGGTTCTGCTGACCTTGTGGTTTGTAACCCAATGAATAACCCACTATGCTACTAGGACTCATTAGACATTTTAAAAAAAATAAACCACTGCCATCAAATAGCTCTGATTCATACAGGTTTGCTAGGCTTTATAAATCTTTATAGGAGCAGGCAGGCTCATCTTTCTCCCTCAGAGCAATTAGTGGACTTGAACTTCCTATCTTGCAATTAGCACTCCAGAGCTTATCGGGCTCACCACCAGGGATCCTCATGAGCCATTAGAGAAATGCAAGTCAAAATGAGATACAATCTCACTGCAACAAAATTGGCAATGTGCACAAACAACAACCAAAAATAATACATCAAGGTTGTAAAAAGACGGAACTTATATATTGCTAGTAAAATCATAAAATATAGAAAATAGTATGGCAATTACTCAAAAAAGTATAAATTGAAATACCATATAATCAAGCACTTCTATTCCTAGGAGTGTATGTGTGTGTGTATACATACATACATACATACATACAAATACATATATTACCGTATATACTCGAGTACAAGCTGACCTGAATATCAGCTGAGGCACCTAATTTTACCACAGAAACTACATTAAAAATGTGCTGAAAAGGTCAGCTTATACACAAGTATATACGGTGTGTATATATATATATAAAACCTAGCAACACTCACCTGGTAGACATATGCAGATCTATGTACACTGTAGTCTTGTTCACAATAGCAAAAAAACAAAAACAACTTAAGAGGCTATCAGCAGATAAGAGGAGAAATGAACAGTGGTCTAGAGAGACAATGGAATAGCATACGACTACAAAGAACAATGACGTCTACAAAGCATCATAAAAAGACAAATCTCACACAGTCCCCCAAATCCAAAACAACCCCCCGGCCATTGAGTCAATGCCCACTCAGAAAGCCCCTGTAGGAACAGAACTGCCCCCACAGGACGTCCAAGGTGGGAGATGTTTACGGAAGCAGACTGCCTCGGCTTCTTCCAGTGCAGCGAATGGTGGATTTGTACAGTCGGCCTTTCGGTTAGCAGCGGGGCTCTTTTAACCACTGTGCCGTCAGTCTCAAAGGTAGATCCAGCACGCACAGAAAGAAAGCCTTTTTGATGGCTACCAGTGATGGGAGGGGAAAATAGGAGCATCCTTTTCTAGACAGTAGACACGTCACTTTGGTGATGAGAAACGGAACACCAAGTAAACATCGGTGAATTCTGAACAACTTGACCGAAGCAAATGACGACCCAAGAGGAGCAACTTCGGTAAATGATAGAATTTTGCACGAAGAGTAATCAAAAAAATATATATGTTACATAAGTACATCTGTATGCATCTGTGTGAATAAAAAGGCATTTGAGAGGCTTGTGCATGCAAATAGGCATGCATAACACACGTTTGTGCATGCTATGTTTTGTTGTTGCTGGGTGCCGCTTCCGATTCAGAGTGACCTATGTACAGCACAGCCAAACACTGCCATGTCCTGCCCCAACTTCACGTCTGTTGTTATGTTCGAGCCCACGGTGTCAACACAGCTTGTCACAAACATTGTCACGGTATACATGTCCACACATATGATAAAGGACATAGAAGAATGCCTAGACATATTCAAACAACTCAGGGTTGGTTTACTCGGTAGCAAGCCATGGGACCAGATTCCTGTGGGATAAATTAATACTTGGTACAACAGAGTTTATAAAGTTAATGTCCAGTGAGTTGAGTGAGAAGATATAGGACATAGGTTCAGGCACTAAAAAAACCCAATTTATAATTCTCATAGCCACAAAGATAAAAAGTTCTTGAAACATGAGTAAAAAGGTGCTTTTTGTACTCGCTTTCATAATTTTAATATATTCCACTTCAAAAATCAAACATCTATTTGTCTTTGATCTAACTTACTATTAGTAAGAATTTGGTCTGAACATTCACCATGTGGCAAGCAATGTATAAAAGGGCAGTGAAATAATTTTCCACCTGCAGGTATTCTCAACTAAGAACACATGAAAGAGTTTGTGTATTATTAGCTTTGTGGAAAAATTGCTATCAAGGATAAATGGCTCTAAGCACTAAATTTCTCTACAAATAGCATGATTGCTAGAAAGCCTTTTTGTAGTCATCAGTGATGTTGAGAAAAGTCCTATGAATTACAAAGTAAAAACTTTCTCTTTCAGGTCCCAAGTACACTTTCTCTCACCTTGGCACCATATTTGGAATAGTTCATTTCCGTCAGTGTCACTGGACGTAACTTGTCAATATCTCCAAAGGCCACTCCAGGCACATACAGGGCACAAACAATGTGAACCCATCTATAAAGAGAAAGATAGGATTCTGCTATCAGACCCTTTTATGAAATTCTCACATAGAAAATAAACATGCAAAATATCTGCCATATGAAAATACTACTGAAAGATTTCCACGATCAGATCTTTCGGCTCTCACGACGGAACAATGTGGACCACAAATAGAACGACAGCACTCCGCTATAGAAAAGGGGCTGCAGTCCACAGTACTTCTGCAGCGGGGCCCAACCCAGTTAACTCTGATTGCCTTTCACTGAAGACTTACTGCACTTTGCACTTAGCTGTTTTTCTTAAATATTTGCATAAAACTACTACTCAAATGAAACAAAGCATAATTCTCATATCCACAGAAAGGCATTCACATTATTTTAAGTACTTTGAGTACTAAGGATTCTAATTTAAGAACTGTAAAGCGGCAACAATTACGCAAAACGGCTTCCTTCTTATTCCTGTTTTTCAGAGGCTGCTGGGCAACACTTCGGGCCATACTTTAAAGGCAAGTTCTGGTGTACAGCGAGAGTGTCTTTCTTCTCAGGTAAAACTGACTGTTAGCGACTGTGCAAAACAAACTTCAAAACGTAGAAGGAAATTTTCATTTACCTCATCTGGTCATCATGCAACCTGCATCTTACAGACCACAACATATTTCATAAGTTCTGAATGATACTGAACAGTAAATAAAGAATACTCCAAGTTGCACTTTACTAAGGGAAATAAGGGGGGGAAGGGGGAAACTGAGCATATATATATATATTTTAACCTGCTCTGAACCTTTTTTATATGACATTAGGTATACTTTCCATTGTCTTAAAACCAAACAAAATGTGCGTTCATTAATTTTGACAATTAAATAGTAGATCTACACTATCTCCATAAAGGGGTAAAAATGAGATGGCAAATATTTCTGAATTTAAATATATTAATGCAATTTTTTTCTTCATACTAGCTTCAGATATAAAGTGTAATGTCATCAAGTCAATCCCAACTCATATCAACCTTATATAAGATTCTAAGACTGTAAAGTTTCATAACAGAGGGTAGTCCCTTCTTTCTCCCACAGAGGGGCCAGTGGGTTTAAAATGACAAGGTTAGTAGTCTACAAGGCAGTGAGTGCTATATGGTTCTGTTTTGTGATGTACTATGAGTTTTAAAGAAATAAGACTGATAATAATTTGATAGAAGTACTTGGGAAAATAAACACATATCTTTAAAAATTATCTCTTCAATATAAAAGAAGGAACCCAAGGTTTTCTTTTCAGATTTTCTTGATACAATGTTTTAATCCAACCTCCCAAATACAGCCTGTGAAGTTCAATATAAAGATACACATCTTCAACAAGCAGCTGCTTTCTCAATTTAATTTGCACAGTTTGTTCATGCTCCACTGGTGTAGGAAATGCCGTTATACTCTGTAGGAGTTTATCTTTGATAATCCCAACAGCTGGCTGTTTGCCTCAGAGTGACCTTCTTAAAATGTTTTAGTGCATGTCACCATGAATTTAAATTGTCGTCTCAGTGTGATCAGCACACACACGTGCATCACTTCCCCCAGCTACCTAGTGGAGGATGCCAATCTTTTCATGGAAATGCATTATCAAAGTCAGGGAAACTCCCACTGGAAAGCATCTTGGTACTTTTTAATACGAGCTCTAAATAGTTTTCTGTTCATTTGTTTAGCTACACATACTTTAGAAGTTTGTAATTAAGACAAATTGGGCAATCATAAAAGAATAATCATTCTTGTTACTTTACCACCCATTTTGCTTGCAGCTATGATGACAGATGTTGATTAGAGAAAGGAGAAAACAAACACCACTCAAAACCACCAAAGAACAAAGAGTCAGAACTGCCATTCTACCACAGAATTATTAATATTTAAATTCTTATGTTTTAATACAGCAGAAAAAGTAGGATACTTTATAGAAGAATGGAAACTATTCAACAAAATTCGATTTTCAAATGCTTTGCATTTGCAGTGCCTTTGCAGCATATGAAATAAACTCCCATCTAGTATAATAACTGTTATTCCTTCATTTGCATGCTCAACAATCAACTTCTAAGTGTCTGTCATGCACAAAGTACTTGTGGGGAATTTGGTCATATAATATGCTAAGAGTAAAATGTCTTCCATCCAAAAATATTTATTACAAGGGGGTGGGAGAGGGGATATGACTAAAAGATTCCTGTGAGCACAAGACTGTTGTTCTCACTTTATATATCAAGAAATGAGCTCAGACAGAATAAAAGATTTCCAAAGAAAACAAGGCTAGCAAGTGCTCAAACTAAGACTTAAAGAATGCAATGTTCTCATCTATTGCCCAACAATATTTATCTTAAAATTAAGGAATTCTTGTCACAAACATATTTTATTTCACAAGAGACGAGAACAATCACAAAGAACATTAAGGAGGGGGATATGCCTAACAGGGGCCCACACCAAGTTTATGAGATCACTTAAGAAAAAGTAAAACACTCCCCTAAGAAATGAAATAAAAATTCAGTAAGAAAAATGTATTGATGGTTTTCTCACATGAAATGACCTACCTTTTTATATAGAACTATTGCTCCCGTCACCAGCAGGGAAAAAACTTAATTAACTAGCCCATTCCATGTTTCCTTCGATGTTTGTTTGGTTTTTTCCTACATACATTACTCTTTCTTTTTCTCCTAATATCCATTTGAAGCTAGCATAACACTAAATGGCTTGTTAATTTTTTGTGACTTTTTATGCCTTGAATCAAGCTGGTATTGTACCCTTTAAAATTCATCAAGGCCCAATTTCTGCAGTATTCTGTAGGACTGTGGACAGAGCATTAATAGCATGTTCAAACACTATTTTAAAAATCTACCAGGCTGGGTCATCAAGGCAGGCCCCTAGGAACGTAACATCCACAACGGCCACTACAAGCATCTCAGTAATTATCTAAATGGCTGAAGAGGCCTCTCTTTTCTTCATTCAGGAAAAGTTTCAAGGTCACTTTGTGGATTATGAAAGCATGAAGAAACACTAATTTATAGTTCTTAGTAGAATTTTTAAATAAGTAACAAGGAAACACCGTATTTAGAGAAGCAGCTTTCTTTATTCACCATAATTTATCATCCAAAAGTGCAACTCGCAGAACTGAAGAGTTACCAGATTATGCATGACCATCTGGTGAAACTACTAGAATAATAACTACCCAGAAGATAGCAGTAGTCCCTTGTCTTGGCATGCTCAGCTTACACAAGCATCCCAGTTCATTCTGCATGCCTGTAGCCAGCCACCAACTTGCTAACAGCAGACCAGTTCAAACCTGGGCAAAGCAACAAAACTCCCTGACAGCAAGTGGGCAGCAATTATACCTTCTCTGAACCACACCCTTGAAGGCCGGGCATCCTTTCAAGTTTATCCTTCCTTGGACAGTCTCCCTAATCCTAGGGTGCCCATTGGTGTCCTTTTAGCTATGATAAAACTTTTATCATAACTGAGAATCCTTTATATTAAACTTCCCCTTTATAGATCATTTATGACTTTTTTGTTCCCTAATTACACCTGATATATTCTGAAGCCAGAGAGACCTCTAGGTTCAAATTTGATTATTCACCAGTTTGTGAACTTAGGCAAATTACATAAATGCTCTGAGATCTCAGGTATTACATTTATATAATGGGGTCATGGTCACCTATCTCTGCGTAGGGTCATTATTAGGATTAAATGTAATTATAGGTATATTCAATAAATGTTCTGAGTAACAAAAATAGTCAATAAATACTTCCTTTACTTCATCTATAAATATTGCTTATGCCAAGAAGATACAAAAGCAATCAAATGAAAGAAAGTAACAAAGAAAAACACAATTAAAAGAGTAGTATCGTCAGAGGCAGACAGATTACACACCAGGCATATAAATGAGACACACTATAAAACAGAATTATGACATCAACCTTCCAGCATCTGTCTCCTTGAAAATTCCATCCTGATTCGGGCACAGTTCACAACTAGGGGAAACGCCACATTTACAGGCATCACAAAACCAGGGTTCAGTGGAGTTTTCAGAAGCAGAGCTCATAATAGAGTCACTTTCTCCATCAACGCCATAGCAACCTAAAAATAAACAAAGAAAAGATTAGTGTTTCTTTACTCATATATATAAATCGCCAAAAAACAAAAGTGAAATTTTGCAGAAAAGCAATAGTTCATAAGAATGATAACAAAGTTCACACAGAACCGAAATCATTTTTTAAAAATACCTTGACAATGGTATATGAAATGAAATAAGTGCCTGTTTAAATAGTTTTACCCTTATAGGAAAAGTACTAAAAGAGGGGGGAGAGGGAGGGCAGAAAAATTTAAGTTGCTATTAAAATCAGATAAATGATTCTAGAAACCACTGATCAGTAAACATTTACTGAATCCCCTTTGGATCAAAAATATCATTAATTTTTAATATAAAAGATTATATTCATTAAAATAAACAAAAAAGTCTCCAATCTAAATTTGGACATAGGTTAAAATACAAACTCAAACAGCAACAAATACCAAGTAAAAATTATTAAATGGAACATAATCCAGAAACACACACACACACACACACACACACAAATTAAGGCTGCCTAGCGATTTGAATAATAAAGACTATAGTAAAACACCACAACTCATCTGCCAGTTAGTCATACGGTGGTAGCTTTATTGCTGCCGTCATGCTGGAAGGCATGCCACCAATTTTTCAAATACCTGCTGGGGTAGCCACATATTACTTAATAACATGGAAAGAATATATATTTCAGGACTATCATTGACTGGTGAAACATGATTCAAAATGTGGAGAAACAGCTGAAAATCTCAACATTTGAGATGAGAACGCATAAACTATGAATCTATAAATATGAAAGTTCTCAGAAACGAAAATGAATGTAGACAGATCGACATGCAAGGCTTTGTTGTTTATAGGAACCGTCAAGTTGGCTCGCACACATGGATACACACTATGTATATCAGAGTTAAAAGTGTCAGATACTGTAACATCCTCATAATCGTTATGTTTGCGCCCATTATTTCAGACATTGTATCAATCCATCTGCTTTGAGAATCTTCCTCTTTTATGTTGACCCTCTACTACCAAGCATGATGTCCTTTTCCAGGGACTAGTCTCTCCCGATAACATTTCAAAGTACATGAGACAAAGCCCTGCCAATCTCATGGCAGCAAATTATTGCCATCCTTGGAACCTTATGCCTATATGACAGATCAGTTTAATCTTCTAGCAGTCCACAGCACAGTTCGATATTCTTTAACAACACCATAATTTAAATGCATCAATTCTCCTGTAATCTTCCCTAGCTAATGTCCAAAGGTTGCATGCATACAAAGCAATTGAAAATACCATGTCTTCGGTCAGGCACACGTTAGTCTCCAAAGTGACAGCCTTGCTCTTCTAACTTTTTTTTTTTTTT